AGTATATAGTGAACACTAGTGCCTAAGGTTCGGTGTTCAGGCTCTGGAGTCCAAGTGCCTGGGTTCAAATCCTACTTTTCTACCTAACTAGCTGTGGGGTCTCATAAGTAAGACACAGAATCCTCTGTGGGCCTCAGTTTTCTCTCCTGTAAAGTGAAAATGACATTCCCCATCCACCTTATGGAATTGGTGGAAGAATTAAAAGTAAGGTATGCATAATGCTTATCACAGCCCCTGATAAATAATAAGAATAACTTCATAAATGATAGTTCTTACCACCATCATCATCATTATTACTGGGTCAATTGTAGTTGTCAGGTCTACTGTGTGGAAAGAAGAGTGGATAATACAAAATAAGGAATATAATTTTAAAAAAAAATCAGTTTGAAACTCAATTAACTAGACCTCTCAGTTGATAAAATTTCTCCATCTGTAATAGTAAAAAAGTGGGTAGAGAATTAAAAATAGCAAGCAAGAACAAACAAACAAACTTGCAGGTAGGATCCAGCCAAGAACCTGGACATGCTCAGCTCAGCCCCCTTCACCTTTGCTTCCAGCAGGCACAGTCCTAGATGGTGCCTACTCCAAAATACAGGAGCTTCAAGAAGCCAAAAGTACTGGCTGGGCTGTGGCCAACCGCGTGGACTGGAGCATCCACACATTATTACTTTCCTCTTCTCTCACTTCACCTTTTACCCACACATACAATCTTGAAATTCATCTTTTATATACTTTTTATATCCCTGGTCCCATCTCTTTGTCAGGAGGTGTTCTTATTTACATTTGCTTGACACTCTGAACCCACATGAAATGGTGAATCCAATTCCCTCCCAAACATTCTGCGAATCACTAAATTGGGGTGGGGGCAAAGATGGGGGGGACACAGTTTTCCTTTCCATGGCCATCCCTGACTCTGCATTTCTGTTCCCACTAAACTCAGGATCTCACTCTAGTCCCGGTTCTCTTCCTTCTCCAAAACAAACCCATATTCAAAATTCAGCTCTTTTTAAAAACAATTCTCCCTCATCAAAAGAAAACGCTAGTCTCTCAAAGTGTTTGGTGGCATAGCAGGCTTTATTGAGATTTTAGAAGGAAAGGGTTTTCCTTTGCCATGGTGCTCTGCTTCTTCTGTTCTCCCTGAGGGGTCTCTTCATGTTGCTCTGGCTACTCTACTTTTGGGGAGCCCTTCACATTAAACCTGAAATTTCCTCATTTATTATAGACAACAGTGTAGCTTGACCCCTGAGCTCTGGGCTGTCTTTCTGATATACAAATAGTGTACAAATAATGCTATCCTTAAGACAACATAAGATCTCAGAGGCTCTCTCTCAAGTAGCCCAGAACTGACTTTGAAATTTCAGACTTGCCTATTTCCTAGAGCCTGAATATGGAAGGATGTGATATGTGACTTATATTCCCACTGGTGTGGTTTATTTACACATTCTTCCCCCACCTACAGAAGGCAAAATAGTCACAGTCTAAGTTTTAAATGTGTTTTTCTCTATTACATTTATTTTTTATTAATATTTAGCCATGACTTATTGAATATAGACTTTCCTCAAATCCAATGAGGAATGAGGCAAAATGCAAACTTATAAAGGGAGGAGAGTGGACCCATATCTCTTAGAGTTTCAACACTAAGGGTGGAAAGGAAAGGAGATTTCTCTCTGTTACTTTTCATTTTTTTTGTTAGTCAGAAAGTTAAATTAATTAAAATAGCTGCTAACCCCATAGATAGTTGATGTTCCTTTGTCCCTCGCTTATCACCGTATATATTGCACTGCTTCTACTAGAGTATTAGTTATATTATTTGTCACTTATTTTCCTGTTTGCTTCCCCTGCTAGATTGTCCTCCATTTTTCAGTTGTGAAAAAGGGCAATCCTCAGGCTAGGAAACAGCAGTTGCATCATTCTTTAAACCTTGAGAGAAGAGAATAAGAACTTATTTGCTCCCCATCATGATGGGCACAGCTTGGCACATAGATGGCTCTCAACGATTTATTCATTGAATTAATAACTGAGCCACCCCATATCTACTTAATCTATGGTTTACTATATATTTGTTTGACCTTTAGTCAGGGCCATTGCCTCCGCGTGTATGTACACACACACACACACACACACACAGACACACACTCATTCACTCACTCACACTCACTCACACTCACATAGACTTCTCACACTCCAGCATCTGCAGGCAGCAGAATTCACTGTCTCCCAGACCTCACCATCGTGCATATTGATCTGCACACAGGCCCATCTGGAAGAAGACAGAAGTGAATGGGATGCTGTCCTAAGGTTCTTATCCTGGCTCCTCTGCAGTCTGGGATGAGTGGGCTCTCAACTCAGCCACTACCAAAAGGTGGGCACTTGTACCATCTCTGAGATATGTGTTGTAAGTTGCCAACCATGTTGTAGAAGATTAAGGAAAAGTGAATTTTTGAAAATGAACGAGTGTGATTTTCTTTTTTACTCTCAAATAAACTCATAAATGTTTCACTTTTTCTGTTGTTCTAGAGACTTGTAAGATGTCCATTCACTGGTTATAGCCAGGGGTTTCCAAGAGTCTGTTGACTTTTTCCCCAGGTCCCTGCATTTGTGTGTGTGTGTGTGTGTGTGATAGGCAGGGGTTTAGATGCTCTAGGCTCTTCACAGGACTGTCTTCTTGGGAGGTCAGCTGCAACCAGAGGTCTTTAACTCTAATTAAGGATGCGTTGATGGGGCTGGTCACTTGCAGGTCAACTCTGAAGCCCAGTTCACACTCAACTAGTCACCAGTGTTTGATGTTAAGTATCAGAAAGGGATGCAGCAGGCACCTCCGGATTTGAGGTTGGCTCTTCTGACCAGGGAACTGTCTGAACTCTTTGGGTGGTGATTCAGTGGTCCTGAGAACTCTGGTAATAAGTTTCAGATTGCCCCATCACTGACATGTAGGTGATTTTAAAAGTTTACAGTCAGACAAGGAGAAAAAGAGAGAAGTGTTGTCAAAGTTGAGATTTAAAATGATGGGCTGTCCATAGTGCATATAATTTTTAAAAATAACAATTTTTTTAAAAACCTGGATAGTGTGTTCTTTCCAAAGCAGCTTGTCAATCTCTGAACCAGTGACTTCTTTAGTTATCAATGCTTGCCAAACTTTTTTATTTAAAATGACTTCTTTCATGTTAATATAGCATCCATGTGGAAGGAGTAATTTTATAGGACATTTTAATAATCTGAGATAATCTTATTTAGAGAGGATTCCTGTAATTACGTCTTTTGCTTCAAGAGAAAAATAGCTTTTTTTCCCCTTGTCTGTCTGTGATGATAAATTATTTTGCTTTAAATAAGGATAATGAGAATTAGTATGAAAATAAGAAAGGTATAAAGGGGATGAAAAATGTTCCAGGAAAGAGAAAATAAAATTATTTAAGGGCTGAGGAGGCAGGGAAATTGATTCAGAAATAGACTTAGAGAGTCGCTAGTTTTCCACCAAAAAAGATGAGAAATTATCAGATTTTACATAAACCACACAGGGTTAAGGTGAATGCTTATATGCTTGCCAAATTCTAGATTATTAGGAACAGGTACTTGTTATACCACACACACACAAAGAATGCACTGTTTTCCATATTAGTACACATTTGAGGGTCTCAGAACTAAAAAAATGAACTTGGCAGCAAATATGATTTAATCAAGAGATCAAAGATGGCAAATAAATAGGCTATATGTAATTATGTCTATTTCTGTACCCATGACAGACATTATTAATTGATCAGGCTGCTTTTTGCAACTAAACTACACGGATGCACCTCAGAATTCTTTTCAGCGCAGTGTGACAGAAAGTAACGTGACTACAGATGGCCCTTGAGATGAACCCTTTTGCTACACTTGGTTTAGCCTTACTGCTCATCACAGGGGTGCTTATTCAGAAAGCACAATCACAACTCCATTCCAGACCTACAAATTAGGATGTTTATTTTAGCAAGATCTGTTTTACTTCTTATGTACATTAAGGTTTTAAGAAGCCTTGGAAGGGAATTGAATGTGTGACATATTCATTAGGGAGGAACTTCTCAAGCTTTAGTGTGCATCAGATCATTGGGTTAAACACTTGTTAAACCTAGATTACCGGGCCTCACCTCCAGAGCTTTTGGTTCAGTAGGTCTGGGGTGGTGGTTTTCAAACTAGTTTCCAAGTGCTGCTGTTGTTGCTGGTCCAGGGGCCATACTTTGAGATCCACTGCATTAGGGCCATGGAAATACTTTGGATTATCTCTCCATGACCTTTAAAGTCGAAGACTGCAATAACTTTCCATAATTCTTGGTACATCCGTCAGAACCAGAATTCTGGGTAGGAGAGTCCTAAGGTTTACTACAGCATAACAGTTCTTGGGACCTGTGTACCTGAATCTAAAAGGCTCTCCTCCTGGAGAATTGCTGCTAGCATTATTTATTTCATAACAACTTAGGTAGTTAAGTTATTGTGTCCACAGCATTATACTAGATGCTGAGAGAATCTAATGGAAGTTTAAATGCACTTCCTAACTTAAAGAGTCTCTCTAAGAAGAACATAAACACATGAAACAATAAATAACAAAGTGGCATCAGATGGCAAAAGGCAGAGTGCTAAGTAAGTGGCATGGACCACATGTGATTTAATTTCAGATGGAGGGAGGATACCTGAAATTATATATAAGACTGTGTGCATTTCAGCCTAGCTAGAGTAGAAAGTTGATATATAGAATGGGTAGAAGATAAGGTGGGAAGAGGGAACAAGTCAGGGTAAGAAGACGCCTTCTCATTTCTTAACACTGCTTTAAGAGGTTATTTTGAAACCGAAGTTTCCTCTGGTAGAGATAATGATAAATCAATACTATCAACACTGCAAATCAGGCTATAAGGTGTGCATAGAGAAAACCTTTATCTCAGAAACAGAGAAGAAAGACAAACAGTTTATACACAGAGATGCCTGGGGGGAATGTAGCAGTAATTTAATTAATAGGGACAATAATACCCAACTTCTCCTGGCCCCGTACATTGCCAGGTACTTGTGCTAAAGAACTGTCATGCACTATCTCATTTAATTGAAACAATAGTGAATTATTTAAATACAGTCAAGCCTCCTTACTCCAAGTGAAAACCGAAGCTTTATACGGATGCAATAAGATTGAAGAACTTGCCCAGTTTAAATCCAGGCAGTCCTGCAAGGAGGGGGGCTCCTCATCCATGAAACACGAGGGTTTCTGACCTGCCTGGATCATTCCTTCCAATTCTTATCCTTTGAGTCAGTAGAAGCCCAAACAGCAACTGAGAGGAGTAAAGAAATCCTCAGGCGAATTAAAGTCGAGGAACCTGTGGGGCCAGTGTGTCCAAGGCACGGACAGGGAGGGGCTCCTACATGAAATGCAGCAAGGTTCAGCCTGAGCCAGCCAGGGTCCTGGAGCCTCTCCTGACTTCCTCAGGCCACTCTAATTACAGAGTCTGTGGTAGGTTGCAAGGAGGAGCTGTTTCGGGGCGGAAAGCTTCCTTGGGTATTGTATTTGCCTATAAATACTTCAAATAGTTAAGTGAAATGTGCAGCCTTTGAAAGCTGGAGAGGAAGCTATTGGGAGGCCCCCCGGGTCCGCCTGGCAGAGCAAGCAGAAAAGAAGAGAAATGGCTGGCGTGTCGTTAACGCGGGAGACGAGTAACAGCCCTGCCCAGGCCAGATGGCGGGGCGCGGGGCCTCGGGCGCGACTCCGGAAGACTCAAACCGTTAAGGTGACCAGAATAATTTGAAAAGGGAAACAAACTTCTCCCGAGCCGTGCCCTCGGGGCCCGGAGGGGGACGTTTGCGTTTGAAAGGGCATTTTTCAAAAGAAGGTTTCAAGGCGCGGGGGTGTCGGCCCGCCGGGAAGCGCGCGGCCGGAGCAGTGCTGCAGAGCGGCCACCAGCCCGCTTTGTACTTGCGGCCAAGCGCGGCCCCAGAGTTTCGGCCGCAGCCCGGGAGTTGAGGCCACGCCCCCTTTGCAGTGAGAGCCGCGGCCGCTGATTGGCGCGCCAACGACCAATGGGCGCGCCGGGGCGGCCCGGGCTGTCAGCGCGCGCCGCAGACTCGCGGCCGCAGCCTGTCTTCCCCAGTGCGGAGCCCGGCAGCCAGAGCAGCCTTCCCGGGAAGCGCGACGGCCGCTCGCGAGCGCAGCCCTGCCCAGTCGCGCGTCTCGGTGCCCGTGCCCCACTGCCACAGCTTTGCGCTATAGCGCATGGAGCATGTGCAGACTCACAGGCGCTAAGGTGCTATCTATCCGGGGGGCTTCTGAGCAGTGGTGACGCTGTCACGCCTAGAGAGACCTTCGGGGGCTCTCGCCGCGCCTCTGCGTCGCGGGTGACACTGCGGTGCTCGCGATCAGGGCGGCAGCTGCCTCTTGGTGGAGACGTCTTGGGCTCCGTGTGCCCTCCCTCTCCCTTTCTCCGCCGCTCGCTCCTTCCCTCGCGGGTTCACACTCGCAGCTTCCCGGAGCTGGAAGCGTGCGTCCCCGCCGCTTCTCTTCCAAAGGGGCCTCCTCACTTCAGAGATGCAGTGACAAATTAATATGGGCTTCCAAGCCTCGGGTTCCCAGGAAGAGAATCGCAAGAGGCAACTGCCCCTGAAAGCCCAGAGCCTTTGAACAGGCGGCCCAGGAGGGGCGTGAGACACAGCTGCAGCATCCATCCAGGTGGGACCAGCTGAGCACCGCGACAGGTTCTCCGCCGCATCCCAGCACCTTTAAGGCGCGCTCGCCGGATTGCTCCGAGTTCCCCGACCGGGGATTTTTTTTCCCCCCTGCGCTGGTGGTGGGCGCCTCGCGGGCCGAGGCCCGGCGCCTGCTCTGCTGCCCGCGCTGCCTTTAGCGGTCGCCTCCGCCGCTGCTGCCAGGGACGTGCTGGGAAAACCGAAGCCCCGAGAGAAGATGCCGGCCATCCTGGTCGCCTCCAAAATGAAGTCGGGACTGCCCAAACCCGTGCACAGCGCCGCGCCCATCCTGCACGTGCCCCCGGCCCGGGCCGGCCCCCAACCCTGCTACCTCAAGTTGGGAAGCAAGGTGGAGGTGAGCAAGACCGCCTTTGCTAGCCAGATCCCCCTGAAATCGCAGGGACTACCAGAGCTGGCGGCGGAGGGGCTCCCTGTGCGGAAGAGCGGCTCGTTGGAAAATGGGTTCGATACCCAGGTGAGAGGTGCTGTGTGCATAGTTCTGGGAAGATGGGTGAATGCTTTTTATGGGGGGAGGGTGTGGCTGGAGTGGGGAAAAGGGCTACTCTGTGGGCAGAGAAGGGAACCGTTCCGCTTGACCCACAGACCGGGAGATGCGCGAGGAGAGTGGGCTGGCCGGTGGGTGTGGCCCGGGTGCTGCAGGTTTGCCTTAAGGATCTATATGAGACCCAGGTGCGAACACGCTTGCAGGTTCCTTCTGCGGGGAGCACGGCCGTTGTGTTCTCAAAAAAATGTGTGCAGCGCTGGTAATGTCAGGTCCTGCATGTTGAGGGCTTTTCTTCCCACCCCCCAAGCAGTATCAGCTGAGTGTGTCTGGCTGTCGCTTCTGCAGAGATTTTGTCCCTGCCAAGGAGTGATCTGAGGCCTCATTGGACTCGACGCCCCCTGGCCTGGCTGCAAGATCCGGGGAAAGGGGTCTGGGGGTGGCAGTGAACCTGTTCCCCTCGGCTTGAAGATGACTTGCCCCTGCCCCATCCCTTGGACTGACAGGATTCCCTGCACAATGCTGGGACTGCAGTAGGAGTGACCTGTGCACCAGCTGAGGCAGCCAGCTGGAGACTCCTAGCGTCTTGGCTGGCTGTTGCGGTGGGGGTGGAGGTGGCTGCTTCAGAATGGCGGCCTGAAGCTAAGCCCCTCCTTCCTGGGTAGTAGATCCCGGTGCTGGTAGCCTGGGTGAGGGGGCGGGTGAGGGCGGGAGTGGTGGGGATGGCTTGAAGACAGAGCCCACATCACCCAGTTCAGCTGGGTGGCAGGCCCTGGCCATTCAGTCTCTTTTAAGGAAATCAGCAAGGTCCAATCAGGTTCTCTTGGCCTCTTGCCCTCCCTGCTGGGATTTTTTTTTTCTTTTTTCCCCCTCTTCTGGTAGGAGGGAGCAGGGACACATTCTGTATTTTCTTGGCAATCAGTCATCAGGGACTTTTGGGGACAGGCTGACCTGACGGATGTGACTGCCCTGTTCAGGAGAGACAGGAAGCCAGAGGGGGAGGTAGTTTGGGGCTGGTGTCAGCGAAGTGGCAACAGACCAGCTGACCTTTTTGGCACTTACTTCTCTGCTGACACTGTCTCCACCTTCTTCTGGAGCTTTCTCTGATCAGAGGCTAGAACTCAACACATTCCTAGCCTTTCTGATGGAGGAACTGGAGCTGGAAGCTAATTGTAAGCAGACTTTTGGAGCTCTGGGCTGGAGAAGGCCCTCAAAGCAGATTAAGCTCCCAGGCCAGGCTGATAAGCATGCCCCTTGCTGCTGCACTTGCTAAATGTTTTTGGAAGCTGACAGGTTTGAGGGATGGTGTGTGGGAGGAAGGCAAGATTTCCCCCAATGTGCTCCTGGGTCTGTCTCTGCTAGGGTTTTGTGCTCTGCTCTTTTTTTCTGCTGTTAGCCACAGGATTTGTCCAGCAGGTTCAGAAATAGGAGTGTGTCTGTGTGGGGGGGTGAGGGGTGGGGGGGGAGTGATACATTTTATCCTTGGAGGTGGAGCTTATGAGGTGTGGTGGGTGGTATGTGGGAGGCTGGAGCAGTGACTCTAGGATGTGACACACATCCATCCTGATGAGGAGGACCTGAGGAATGAGAAGGAAAGTAGATGCTGGGATTAACTGTTCATACCCAGGCAGCTGTCTGCCTTCTCCCATTTGACCCTTCACTTAACAAACATTGTGGGGGGACTTGCAGTGGGCAGGCTCTGGAAAGGTGATTCATCACCCTCTTCCCTGAAGGAAATAAAAAAGTGTTCTCCAGCTGCTCCTGGAGGGGCTGGCATGGTCCAGTTCCCTCAAGGTTTTGCTTTCCTTCCCTACCCTTGGCCCACAGTTCCCAGAATGCCCCCATTCCACTTGCCCTACCCTCAGTGGGAACTCATGCACTGTCCATGAGGATGGTTTAGATGGGATACTAAGGAAATTGCGCACTTCCCAGTGGGCTATCCTCGTGTTTACCAGCCTGGCCTTTCCTTATCGCTTTCTGGCTTCCTGGGGGCTCTTCTCTGTGGCAGGTGACAGATCCTTGTTTTCACTGCCCCACCCTGGCATCAAAGTGACCTTGGCAACAGTAATTTTCCCTTCTTTGGACCAGGCTACCTCCCACTCTGCCTGACACAATGCCCATTCACCATCCAGGAAACCCTCTCCATTAGGGCGTGAGGACCGTGTCTGGCTTGGCATGCAGCAGTCCCTGATCCAAAACCTGGTATTTATCACTGGAAGATACTTAGGATATAATGAGTTAAATGGCAAATGATGTTTTGGGCCTCTGACTCCCCTTTTATTTAGGGATTTTTTTGGCAGAACACTGGGTTATGCAGTGGTCAACAGCATAGGTTTTAAAGTCAGGTGGATTTCCATGGTGTCCTATCTCTGCCATGTACTAGCTGGGTGACCTAGTCAATTAACCTCTCTGGGCCTCAGTGTCCCCATCTGCAAAAATGGGCATAAACAATCACACAAAGAGTGAGGATTAAGAAAAATAACATCTGGGAAGGGTTTAGCCCAGAGAATGACAAATAAGGAACACAATAAAGTTAGCTATTTATATTGCTAAACCAAGAGCTGGGGCAGTTAAACCTAGATCTAATAGCCTCAAAGTGAGAAAAGGCATAGCTTATCCTCCCAAGCCCTTGAGAAGGTATCAGTTGGTTCAAAAGGATTTACTGAGCATCAGTCATGTGCCTAGTATAGTACCAGACATGGTGGGAAAGTGAGGGAAAGGCATAACCACTTGTTAGGTGCCTGATGTGCGAGGCTCTTTACATATGATCCCACTTTATCCTCACAGTAACACTTAAAGAAGATGTGACATTTTCTATAACAACAATTTTCTTTGGCAATAATAATATAATAATGGCAAATCATTACATAGCACTTTCTATGTGCCAGGAATTGTTCTAAACATATCATGTAAAATACCTCATTTGAGTCTTACAAAAATTCAATGAGATATGTGTTATTACTCTTATTTTACTCACGAGGAAACTGAGGCAAAGATTGGATTAGTAACCTTATAAATCACAAATAGAATTAGGCCTTGGACAGTGTGGTTGTGGACTCCATGCCCTTAATCACGATGCTATACAGATATAACTACAGAGACTTCCTGATTACTTGCAGGCCCTGATTTATAAGACCATTGCTGTAACCACTGCGTTAGAAAAGTGAGACTCAGTAAGGTGAAGTTGCTTGCTCCAGGTCATCCTGCTCCACTGTGACAGGGTGGAGGGGGGGTGGACATCCAGCTCAGGTAGGTCTCCTTCAAGGCCAGTGGTCTTCTCACTCTTCATAGCTGCCTCCTCCAGCATGCTCTGGCAAATGAACACAGTAACTAAGACATGGCTGGGCTTTGGAGATTTTATAGTCTAGTTGGGAGGCATACGGATATACCAAGGGCAACAGGGCACATCACAGACAAGGTTGAGAGTTATGCTTGGGACTCAAAGAAAAGGAATGGCCATGATGGTGGAAGAAGTCCACAGGGCCTCACGGAGGAGGCAGGAGGTGCCTGGGCTTCAGAGATGGGCGGGAATGGCTGGGTGGTGAGGAGAGGACGTGAGGGGAGCATGACAGGGAAGGATGAGGAGCAGGGCCAAGCAGTGGTACAGAGCCGGAGGTGATGTCACTGCAGACAGGCTGCACCTTCATGCACAGGTGACTGCTCCATATATAGTATCTTCCTTTTAAAAGGTGATGATGAGAAAAGAACAAAGTCTTCTTGCAGTTGAAGGGTTGGCTTTGCATGGTGGCTTCCTGGTGGATAATAATTCTGAACATGCAGGGTAGTTATGAGAAGCTGGAGAGATGGTGTCCATAAAAGACCTGGTTCATAACAGACCCTTGGAGAATGACAGTGATTATTATTATTAGCTTGGGGTTGGGGTTCAGACTATTCAACATGGTAGTTATGGGGGAAAGGAGGCAGTTCTCATGGTTTCTTTTATTATGCAGCAACTCGCTTCAGCCATTGACAGCCTATTCCCCCTCAAGCCTGCTCTCCATTCCCATCAAGTGTGAAAAGCCCTAATGTAGCCAGCAAGCCAGCAAATAGCTCTGAGGTGCAGCCCCGCCATGAACTCCCCACACCCTTCACCTTGAATGTCTCCCACACACCTACAGCTGGGGCCCGACCCCAAGTGGGGGGAACTGTGCTATGCAGCAGCACATCCCCCATGAATTCCCTTCCTGGTGCTGGGATACCTGGGCCTTTCCCCAAGAATGAACATTTATAGCATCTGCTCTGTTAACATGGTGTGTAAATTATGACCATGTGCAAAGAATGGTTTTAGAGATAGGCCCTGTGTTGGTTCAGAAACCCTGTCCAGCCAACCTTCAGATAAGGAATGCTCATGAGCTATTTGAGGAGAGGTTAGCCTACTTTCAAGAAGCAGTTGCAGGGAAAACTTATCTATATAATACTTTGATATTTCCTGTTTTTAGGAGCCTGGTGCTCAACTTGCAACTCATTTCTTTAAAAAAGTAATTAGAAGTGATTGAAATCCTCTGTGGGTGTTTTAAATGTTTAAAAAGAAAGTGCAGGGAGGCCCCTGGGAAGCGCGCGCAGCTCCAAGCTTACAACCTGTTGCAACTTTACCCCATTGTGTTTTGATTAGAATCCGTGCTCCATCATCAAAGTTGATTATGGATTTGATTAGTGCATTTTTTTGCTATTGTGTTATTCCCTTTCTTCTCTTTCTCAGTTCTTGGAGGGGAATGTGTTGCATGGTTATCTGCCAACATACAAGAATGTTTATAGTTCACATATTATTGCTTATTCCATGGGTTAATTTTCTGAAGACACTTTAAGGGTGGGACTGGTGGCTTATTTAGGGTATCATTATGTGTGTATATATATGCATATAAATACATCTCCTTCTGGATATGTGTATATACACATATACACACATATACACATGGAACAGCTTAAAGTAATGAGCACATGTAAGCATACACACATCAAAGGCCAGGCTGGAG